AACATCGTACATTAGCAGTTTTCTGTAAATAGTAATAGTTTACAAATTTGTAGAAGTCGGCATAGTTACACACTGAAATTTACTGATTTAGACTATCATATAAAAATTTTTTTACTTTAACATCTAATTAAACAATATAAATTATTTTTGTGTTATTCTTTTCTGATGTTTGTGGTTATTATTATCATTCTTTATCATTATCAAGATTAGTCGTAAATAAAATCTTATATTCCACACATTTTATGGTGTCAGGGTTTGTTTTATTTGAATTATTTGTGTAGAATATTATAATGCGAGTAATATCAACATATTATTATTTTGTGAATTGTGTGTGAATCGCAAATTAATATGCTTTTAATGATTAAATCAATCGGGGAATTTAGATTGATATTTTGTAGAGATAATGGTGGAATTGTGTTTTTTTAAAATAAAATACGACAGTTTAAAAATAAAAAATTTGATAATTATTAAATAAATATCCAAAAACAATAAAACTATTTCTCACGTCAATAATTGCTCACGCACAAACCAATTCTTTCTTTTAAATTAGCATGATAATAATAACATACAATAACATATGCATAAACACAAAATCAAATTATACGAATGGGAAAAACCTTGAACGAAAGAAAATAATCAATTTTAATTTAATTTTTAAGTTACACGGAATATAATGTATGCATAAACACAAAATCAAATTATACGAATGGGAAAAACCTTGAACGAAAGAAAATAATCAAAATTTAAATTTAATTTTTGAAATTAATTAATTAACACAAAAAAAAGATTTAACATTTGCCGTGTCACGATCTCCTTCCAAAACTCGCAAGTCGTGCGACTTCCGTGCAGTTTTCTCGCCGATTGTTATTTCTCTTAAAAAAAAGGTTGAAGATGATATCAGTCATGAAAAAATTTTAAAAAGTAACATTGATATAATGGAACTTGATGTAAATATTGATTCATTTAATGGTTTATATTTTTAATCTGATAATAAAATCAATTGATTTATTTGTTATTTTTATTTATTTCAGGCTGAAAAGGTGTCATATTGGCCATGGCTCTTTCAAAAGAAAAGCATTCGCTCCAATAGAAAATGTTGTAAATAATGTGTCATTATCATCAGCTGCAACTCAACTCAAGTGGTACTGCAACTTAGATTAAAGCATATAATAGAAAGATATGTACCAGATCATTTGAACTATGATGATCCAATAGTTTCTTTAAATGTTGACACATCAAATCCTCACCCATGGCTTAGAAATAACTTTTCAAATGAAGAATGGAAAAAAATTTCGGATAAGTCAAGTTCAAAAATAAACGATGTTGGTAATGCAAACTTTATTGGTGAAAATCATATTAATGACCTAAGAAACCATTTGTGAGTATTTATGTATCTTTTGCTATAAAATCTTCATTGCTAATAAATTACTCTAGTTATTTTATTCACAAAAATTCGACTTACACTAAAAAGGATAAGTTTATAAGCGAAGGCACATGGCGAAGCCATTTCACCACAATTCCATTCAATATTGTTACTCGTGATGTTGGAAATTTACAACTAATAATGTATGTAAATATATAAATTGGGAATTCCTGCAACCAAGATTTAAAAATTTTTTTTTACATAGCAATTACTTGCAGGAAATGCTAATCAAAAAAAGTATTACGTTTACCATAATCCTGTATACTTTTATATGTCTACCTCACCTGTGTGTACATTTATTTTCATTGTTGCGAGAGGATTAGTATTGGGTCCAAGAGAAGAAAATTAGAAAGTATTAGTGATAATGACAGTGAAGAAAAGGTGAGTATAAGATCATAGAAAATATTACTTTGCATAAACATTTTTATTTACAGAAGAATAAACATGGGGAAAAGGCTGATATAACTATTCTAACAAAAAAAAGTATCATGATCCAAAATTAGTAAAATTCGAAATTTATTTCAGTGAAATTTGTCTTTCACCTTGGATAAAACTGCTGCCAGAAATAAACTCAGATAAAAATAAAATGATGAGGATGACGAAAGACAGTTATGACCTCATAACTAAATATTCTTATAAAAAATATGGAAAAAATTCTAACAACAATAAAAACCTTGACTTGAAGAATTTAGAAGTATTCGGCGCTATAATATATGGTAATCATTTTTTTATCACGCAGTTGATCATTAAACCAATTATCTAATTGTTTATTTGTTAATTAATAGGATTTAATATGGAAGTATACTCTTTAGATAAAGTAGGTTATAGAATATATAGAGTACGTTTAGTGAGAACTTTAAAAATTCCTGTGAGGGAAGGTAATAATGAATATTATCGGTCTTTAAATCAATTGATGGTAAATAATATATGATTTATGTGACAAATTTGATAAATTTTATTTAACTATATTTGATTTTATAGTATGCGATCCATTATATGTCAAGTATGATTGAAAACTTGGATAAGTCTCTCAAAAAAGAGAAAAAATTGCTTGAATTTAGTGAAGATTTAAAATGCTGTTATTAAGAACGATCATCTGGCCAGTAATGGAAATCTAAATTAAGAATTCACATAATTTCATTTTCACGTACAACAATTTTAAAGAGAACGAAATTCATTATTTTTATTTGAATAAATGTCTAATAAAATAATTATTACATATTATATTTTTATTAAATCAGGGTTAAAACAAATCAATAATTAATTAAAAATAAACTATTAACTATATATATAAAATTGCTACCAACACCAATATATCTTTTAATGTTAAATATTTTTTAATGATGATAATAGTTAATATTATATAAAATTTACGAATATAAAAAATAAAATTGTATCTCCCTCAAAAAAAAAGGTACAACTATGAAATTAAGAAAGATTGTAATAAATATGATGGTGAACGTGCTGACAGATTTTTTTTTAATTTTAGTAAAATCATCTAAAAATGTTGAAAATACAGTTAAACTTTGAAGCATAAAGGCTTGATAAATAAATAAGATAGAGCAAAAATCTTTCCGTAGTTTTATTCTTTGTGATATAGGGAATAAGCTGACAGAATGTTTTTGGAAATTTATCAGTAAAAAGAGGATTTATAAGGATTTTCTTTTAAAATCTTTTCCTTTTAAAGAAAATGGTATTAAAAAAGAACCGTAAGAAACAAATTTTAAATAAAGAAATATTTAGAATTAACCGGCTTGATAAATTTTATTTTTGTATAGTCTTCAATTTAAGAGTTAAGCCATCATAAATATTTTTTAATTTGAAAATTCACAATAACCGATAGATTTTTTGATGTAACGTTGAAAAAATCCGCGCAGTAATTGTTATAATGATGTAATCTATGTTTGGTGATCTACAAGGATGGAATACTCCAATATTTTATGCATTTTTCTTTTGACTAAAAACAATCATGGTGATAAATGTAATTTTGATCCCTGTAGTTCACTTTGTCTGGTTTTGTTGCAGCATGCCCAAATACATAATGATGATATAATGGTAGTACAATGAAATGCAACCATTAGGAAACTTGATTATTGAACGTAAAATAAGAGAATTGGTGGAAAGATGGTAATGATAGCAATAATAAATTTTTTATATAATTTATGTAGTCTATATAGTGTTGGATCTTTGATTCCATATATAATTTAGCTTTTAGTAATCTCAACCAATTTATCACAAGAATATAAATCCTTTGATCATTATTTGTTCTGAGAAACTATTTTATTTACCTGATTTGCTCTTGATGCTAAATCCTGTATCATATAAATTTATAATACTCTCTAATAAGCTCGACATTGCCTCAAGGATTTTTACAAATCATTATCACCATATTTTCCTAGCACTGACAATGTTAAACATCGTGCATAAATTTCCTAAACACAACATAAACATTTTAAAAAATAAAATCATCAATATTATAATCAAATCAACATCACAGTCATCATTATTATAATTACTTATCTGATATAAGCAAGAAAACATTACAAGAAATCTCTACTATTACATGCTAATTGATTTTTATTAAAGATATAGTTATATACAACCTTTCTTACATGCTGTTTTTTTTTTACAAAGTTCGTCCTAATTTAATGCAGCAGATTCATTCATCACTTTCTTCCTCTTCTGAATCTGATTTACTCACTAGTTAATCACTGCTGCTACTCCTTTAATTGATAAAGAACCCCCCTCTTTCAAAATAAATGAAACAAATAATTAATTGTAACACAAATAATGTGTGTAATTCAATCTTTTTTCAACAAAAAATATTTATAAATGTCTTCTTCAACAAAGTAAATATAAATTAAATTATTTCTAGATTTATGATTTTTTTTTAAAAAAATTTTCATTTTACTGATAATTATCCACAATTATTAGAAGAACACCTTTGGAAAAGGAACTGAGTATGTTTTTTGTTTTTGTTGATTTGATTTTCTTGTAAAAATTTAATGCTAAAATGATTTTTAAAAAAAAATAGTTGAATCAAATCAAAAATTATGGCAAGAAATAAATAACATAACTAATAATCATTTATCATATGTAAATAATTCAATTATTCAAAATATAAATTCATTGAAAACAATTCAAAAATCTGTTGAGGTTGTTATTATTAATTACTATTAGTCATTAATAATAATTTATTAATAATAATAGTAATAATATTTACTAATAATAATAAATATGATATTAATAATAACAGGAAACAAGAGATGGGATTAAAGATTTGGAGAGAGACATTAGATCTTCAAAGAATTTAGTATTTAAACTTGACCAATCAATCATACCAACAGTTAAGGTGACAGAAGATGAATTATTAGAAACTAGATATGTTGTATCAGAGATTAAAAAATCATGAACCAATCAATTATAACATAAAATGATAATATTTATATTTTATTTATTGGTTAAACATAAATGTTCATGATAATTATGATATGTAGTCTCACCTAATAAATATAATATATAAATCATATAAAATAATAAATTATTAATGACATTTAAATAAAATAATAAAACATTTTTAAATATTATCAAGATGTTTAATAGTTTCATCATATTCATTTTTTAATTCATCATATGCCTTTTTCTTTTCTTCTATTTGTGCATCTTTTTCTGTACATTCTTCTTCAAGTTTAGCAATATGACGTTCTTGACTTTCTGATTTAACATCAATCTCACGAAGTCTATAAATAAAAATATACATAAATTAGTAAATATATCAGTACTACGAATCTAATAATAATTCAAACCCTTACTTTTCAGTAATTTCTTTCAAGTTTTTTAGAGCTTCATCCAGGTCAGACTCAAGTTGTGAAACTTTCTTTGTAAGAGAATGATTTTCTCGCTCTTTAGCAGTGAGCTCATCTTGAACTTTCTTATTTTCATTTTTTACTTCTTCACTACTAGAAATTGCTGCATCACGTTCATCTCTAAGTGTATTTATTTTCTATGAACAATAAGAAGTAATAATATTAATTATTTTATTATTATAGAATGTCTTTATTAAGTCCATCTTTTTGAAAACATTTGTTTACCTCTTTAAGTTTATCCATTTATAGATGTAATTCAAATTTTCTTTGGTAAAAAGTGGAATATTATTAAAAAAAAAAACGATACACTTTATTTATTTATTACAAAAAGATCATTGATTGTAACACCACCTATTAATATGATGATCTACAGCTAAACCTTCAATAATTAAATTCGCGTTACAACAAAATTTTTTAATAAATTTTGCTTCACTTGCTTTACATATAAAAACATAAATTTGTCAAAACAAATTTTAAATGCAATTTCTTATGTTTTCCCTATAGATTTTTGAAACGAGGTTTGGCTGTACATACCATCAAAATTATTCAACTTCTACGTGCAACAACTGTCATTCTAGGATTAATGCATTTCATAGCTCCTCCTTAAATAATCTTCTCAATAATGATTTTTAGCTTCCTCCAACGTTGTTTAGAATTAGCTGGGTGTTTTATTTTCTTTTCTTTGTTTTTGTATACAAGACTAGAATTTTTGTGGCAAAAACAAGAGTTTTATTGTGATAGGGACTTGTTTTAATATCACCTTGTATATTTTTTATTTCTAGCTAAGCTATTATTGTGATCGGGGGTTTATGATGTCAAGGTAATGGGGATAACACAATTGCTTCCCAACTTCCTATAAAAAATCTTGTATGGAAAATACACGGGAAATACAATACCAAAACAGGAAATGTATGGAATCTTCCCGCAAAGAGCACGTTTTACATAGGAAACATATGGAAGAACGCACGGAAAACACACAAAAAATGTCCTTAGCATTAGTTTTCAGAAAACACATAGAGAGTAAAATTCTTTGTGTTTTTAGTATTAGGTTTTCTGCATTTATTACACCACTTCTCCAAAAAACAACGGAATTTCGGTTTTTTGTGCATTTCTGAAAACTATTACTGTGCATTTTCTGCGCATTCTCCGATCAATAGTAGTAAATTTGGATGATCTGCATCATAGTAAAATTTTATAATTGAATGTCTTCACACCCTCATTTGATACCCTTGCTTGTGTAGAAACCACTACCAAATTTGAGATTAACTTCTTTATCATATGTATCTGCTTTAAGAAAATTTAAGGCAGGTTGTTAATAAAACCAAAAATAATATGACCCTCAAAGTCAAATTTTGCATTTATATTCATATGCATAAAATTTGTTTGATGCATCCAATTGCAAGTATAAAAGTATAGGCAGAAATAAATGACCAAATATTACATTATTATGAATATTTACAGATTTTTGATTGCTTAGGTATGTCTTTTATAAATAAATAGATTTTAGAAATTTTCTTTACCTATATACATAAATAATGATTAGAATAATAACAAGCAACAATAATGATTAAATTAAAAGGTGTTTTATCTCTGACTTTATTCATTTAATTATTTAGCATAGCAATGTTATTAAATATAAGTTAAAAAGAGAAATTTATATACAAATTTATTTATATAATGTAATATAATAAAAATGTAATAAAATAAAAATAAAAAAAAAAAATTTATATACATAAATAAATAATAAACATAACTATTGAATGATTGATAAAATGTTCATTTTTGTAAAACTTGTTTCATAGATCTTGTCTTTAACACTTAATTTGATCACTCCCATACAACTATTGAATAATTGATAAAATGTTCATTAGTATGTTTTGTTCATAGATCTTGTCCTTAACTCTTACTTTGATCATTCTGCAAACTATTGAATAATTGATAAAACACTTGTTAGTATATTTTGTTTATAGATCTTGTCCTTAGTGCTTATTTCGATCACTCCTACACAAACTATTGAATGTTTTGTTCATAGATCTTGTCCTTAATGCTTACTTTGATCATTCCTATACAAATTATCAAATAATTGATAAAATGTTTGTTAGTAAATTTTGTTTATAGATCTTGTTCTTAATGAATAATTGATAAATATTTGTTAGTATGCTTTGTTCATAGATCTTGTCCTTAATGCTCACTTTGATCACTCCTACACAAACTATTGAATAATTGATAAAACATTTGTTAATATGTTTTGTTCATAGATCTTGCC